CCTTATAAACAATCATGCTATCGCTTGGAGAAGTCTTCAGAAACAAGTGTCAATGAACATTTTAACTTAAATTTCCTCCCACATTAAAAATGTAAAGTGCTGTGCTTTTTGTTGATTCAGCTGAAAACTGCAACGAGAAGTTAAGACGTGGGTGTGAATTTTGGTGAAGTCGTGGCCATGGTTGATCATGTCATATGCAAAGGCACAGATTCCAGGGAACCATTGGGGATATATCCCACACTTCTTGACAGGGAAACAGAAGCATGCTGATATGTGTGATCAGTTAAGCTTATGACCTGTTTTTATAACTTGGGCATACTTGTAGATTGGACAGGGAGGAAGGCAGAATTTGGTAACTCGAGGTTTTTTTCTGAAGGGAACTTTGAGAAACTTTAAGGTCAACTTCCTGTTACCACCTGCTTCATTTTGCCTCGTTACTCCTGTCATGCATGCACGACTTTCGTAGTGATCAGCTTTTACTGATTTTTATCGTAGACCCCAGACACGCACTTGCAGACAATGAAAATCTGCACCCTTGGTTAATTACTCTAAAACCTGTAAAACTCTTGCGTAGTATAGATTTTGTGCGGGAATTCTGTTGTGTGATTATTGTGACCATTAGTTTGAGCTTCATTAACTATAATCGTTTCCTTAGCAAAGACCTTCATATATCTATACATGTACTGTACATGTTTATGATGTTGGACGATGTCAGTTGTCTTGAAAATGTGAAAATAATGTGGATGTACATGAATTCAAATAGCATCAAATACTGGACGTGGATTGCCGATTGGTGGCAAAGCTTAGATTATGAGGGACAAAATGTGTATGAAGGTCTTACACTCGAAAGATGAATTTCGTTTAAAATTTAACATATTCAATGAAAACAATACCAAGGGTGGAATATTTCTCTCAGGTCAGCTGGTAATTATCACTTGTTTCTTTTGTCCCCACTTTAAGAGTTGAGAGAGATTGTGAATTGGAAAACCCGTACAAGTTCCTCTGCAAAACGAAATACTAGTATTTTCCTTTATTGCCAAATTTTGGGTCGTTTTGTCTGTAGCAGTGTTTGGAGATGGTCTTCAGGGATAGCGTAGAGGTACATGTACCTTGTGTATTTTTAAAGTGGACTGAAATTGTGGGCCTAATCATGTAAAATTAATTCCTTTTTAACATCCAACCTGACAACTCAAAGACTGAGTAATTGGAACATGAATTAGAAGTAGACTTGGCCTAATTAGCCCGCGTAGAAGTTGAAGCGTCCAGCCTGTGAGCTGTCATTGATGTAATCATACAATCATGAAAACGCTTATAAACCCTCACACAGTGCATGAATATCCAGCAAATTTGGGAATTTGTCAAACCACAAAAACTGAGTTCTTGCATAAGTGTACATGTGGGTTATTTTCTAAATAACAATATACAATTTGTCACCCGCACTGCAAAAAGGTGTAGTCGTATAGTGCAAAAACGCGTAATGGCCCATTGCATGTGCTGAGGGTGAAAATACTTGGAAATATTTTGAGGCCAACCAACCAGAAAGCCTCTGGAAAACCCAGAGAGTGTCTAATTTAAGGTTAATGTTTCTGTTCGTTATGTTTAAAAGCATCTAAAAATGCACGTGTGATAGAATAAAATTATATGAATATATGCAAATGGCAAATAACTTGAAAACGCAAAATGCCACTGGGATGAATTAAATATCAAATGAAGGTTTGGGATGTGATCATTTGAGTATATACTATATTATAATATATATCTCAAATTCAAAAATAAAATGTGGCATAATATACCTTTTGCAGAGCCGGTCACATTTGGGGGTCTATTTCATTTCTCAAATAGAGCCTAAACCATCAGAAAGGCCGTAAAACTACATTTTAAAAAATCCATGCTTTGGCCCCCTAACAAAAAAATCCTGTTTTGCCTCCCCCCCCCAAAAAAAAGGTCTCCTGGAACTGCCCTTGGAGTCGGTTTCAAAACGGGGGATGAGTTACTCAAATACTAACAATTACTTAACAACCTCTCAGACAATGAAAAAAGGTTTTGAAAAATGTATATTGTGAAATTTAAAAATTCAAACCAATACAGGCGATTCACAATAGTACCCCACCGAGAGTTTGCGACACGTTGGCCAATCATAACGCACAAAATTTGTCGCCCCTTTCCGAACCCGCATTGGGTCGACAAATTTCACACATTGTGATTGGCCAACACGTTGCAAACTCTTGGTGGCGCACTGTTGTGAAACGGCCGTTTTCATCACACGCTTTCATAATGGAGTATAACCACTCAGATCTATGGTTGGTAAGTGTTTGGTGAAAGGTGAGATTGAAGGCAATTGTCCGGTACATTTTTTCCTGTGAATTATAAAAGCTTGGTACTCTTGATACCCAGATATCTTTATTTAATTTTTTGGGCACAATGTTTCTTTACAATCCATGAATGTACTTACATGTACACCTCTAAAAGATGATTAGGCTGAAATGTATGGAGTTATAAAGGTGAATCCTTCCAAAGGTTTTTTCCTTGTTTAATGTTTACCGACGCTGTGTCAGAATAGTGGCATATGGATCCTTGTAGACAGTAAATGTGGAATTAAATTTGTATCACCATTCACCAGAAAGAAACCTGGCTTTGCTTCGTATTTCTACGATTTCTGAAAGGGCGGTCTTCTAGTTTGAAAAAATATGTACCATCTTTGCAGAGGCACACGCATTTTCGGATCTGGGCATTCTTTTGGCTATGCCAGAATGTTGCGCGACTTCGATGGCGCGCATTTTCGCACACATCCGTGCACATGTAAATATAGCGCTGACCGTCAAAAATCATGTGACAGGAATTCCCCAGTTCAGTTTGTTTTCCACTTCAGATGTGATTCTGAAGTCAAAGGCAATTCATTTCATAATTAGTCTTCTTCATTTTGAAAAAGAAACCACACGGGATTTCAAGAAAATTCTCTAAACCTATGTGACGAAATATACATGTACAGGTCATGTATATTTATTTCAATAGTTTACACAATAGGTACCTACACAGCTTTTATTGTTAACTGAAGCGACCACAGACATCAACTTGAATGATGGCCAGGTAGGTTACATAATGGGTTAATAATACACCTACGTATGTACATTAAATTTTGGACTGTCCATTCAATGTGTGCATAACCTATTGAGGGCGCTGTAGTCTTGGCTCTGAGATACCTTTGTGGAGATTCAGGCAGTGTCTGAATGTTGTGGCTGGCTGTGACTGAAAGCAACATGCGTGCCTATGGAAGCCGCTTGCTAGCAGCCACAAGCTGCTCCCTGCAGACATGTGCTGCTACTGCTGGTAGCCACAGCCAGGTGATTCAGGTACTGACCCAAGTCTTGGTCCCTCTGTGCGGTGTATGAGACAACATCTGGGGCCGGTGTCGTGCAGTGTTGCACTCCAGACTCCACACCACTTAAGACCAACACAAGACCTCCAGCAAGAATTCAGGTCACAAATAGGCTAATCATCATATGAACTGCAACAAACACATCCCTTTTTCACTGTTGGCCATGTTACTTGCGACTGGTCTTGTGACCGGTCTTGTCAATAGTCTAATGTCTAATCTTGATTTAAACACTCAAGTAACCATTAAGCAGTGAATGTACTTGTCAACAAAAAACACCAGGGTCAGGCTGACCCGGAATCTGGGTCCCATGGGGCCTGACCCCTTTCCGGGTCATATAAAACACGACCCAAAAGGAGGTCATATTTATGACCTGTTTGGGGTCATATTTGACCCAGAAAGGGTCAGATATGACCCCAGAAAGGGTCAAATATGACCCAAAAGAAAAGGGGGTCATATTTTGACCCAGAAAAGGGTCAGGCCTCAAGGGACCCAGATTCCGGGGTCAATCTGACCCTGATGGTTTTAGAGTGAAGTGTGACGTCATCAGTGCATAGGCCTATTACACTGTCTTCACAAAAATCTTCCACAACTATCTCCCCGCAAACAATACTACGAAATAATTTTATATTAATAATCCGTTACAGCTCATACACAGCTACGCAACGTGAATATTTTTCTTTAACATTCATATGTCTGTTTATAAAGTTTATCCACATAAAAATATTGTACAGGTTTACAAGACAAAATGCTGAAAGAAAAATTGGTTGTGGATCCCACATTATGAGAAAGGAAAAAAAGGAAGTAGAAACAATTCAAGTGATATTTTAAAATAGTTATAAAAAGAGTATGCCTAAAAACCAAATACTATTCTTTAATAGTTACATATATTGCCATATAAATACATTTGGCCAATGGGGAAAAAAGGCTAACTCTGTGTAGCTACAATCCTGGCCAAAACTTGTTCCTCTCAGTGTTGGGTCTCAGTGTGTGGTCTGCGCTCCAGCATGAGATGGCCACGTTGACCAGGGGGACTGGGAGACCTGGAAAGGGTATGGCTATTGACGCGTGTCCCAACAATTTTGTCCTGGACTGTAGCTACATTATCAATGTAACAGCTGCCGACTCCTGAACAGATCCATGATCACTGATCACCTTGTAATTGAATAATTCATCCCACTGCACAAAACAATTTACTGTTCGGACAGATGTTCCATTATACCAGTAAAATGGAAGTTCCATTGCACAGCGAGAAAATTCTCAACTTGCCTAAGTGACGAACCTCGGAAGTACATGTATTTATTCAAGAAAGGAATTCAGTCCAGGATTGACGCAGGTGTGGTGTGTGACCAGTAATGAGCAATTCACATTCAAGCAGTGGAAAGAGTAACTTTGTGAAGTGCAGGGGTGTGAGTGGCCACTTAAAATTGAAGCGGAAAACAGCTAGCCAAATGCTGACATGTAAAAGGTTCCTATACTTTTTGTACAGACCGGGTGTACAAAAAAGCTGAAATTGGGGGTCAACATCTGAACACAAAAAGCTGAAGTCTGCTGAAAAGCTGAATTCTCGCACCCCTGGAAGCGCCAGGATGAAATGTTCCATTCCACTCGGCTTCAAGAATGGAATGGAAGAGTCCATCTGTCCATAAATTTATTCTGATACCCTTCTGCTTGCTACTACTCATTACTTGTACAATGTACGTGTATGCTCACTGACAGTCATATCACAAAGGACACTGGGGAAATACACACTACACCCTTTTTAATCCTCGGCATAGGAGAGTGAGTTCCATTCTCCGTTGACAATCACAATGCCCTTGCACAACTCTTTTCTTGACTTTACGTAAGCCTTGGTAGGTCAGATGCAGCAATGATCTGTAGTCAGTTCCGGCTATCTGAAGTAATACTATGCTCAGCTAACAATTGCCCATAAAACTGGACGGTGCTGTTGTTGATATTTACAAGTAACAGTAAATTCAAAATAAGCTGGCATATTGCCAACACATCCCCTATAATTACACACCATGTTGGTGCGTATCAGTCACACAGGGAGACAACGTTTTCTCAGTTTCTTCCATCTCTCACCGTACATGAATGTTCATGCTTTCACACAATGTACCTTTTCAAAACAACTCGCCCTTCATGTCAAGTGTTTCACAGAGAGCCAAAGGCCAAGTTATAAGACCACAAGCTACGTCCTCAGCTAAAAGATGACCTCGACTGCAGGAATCGAAAGCCAGCTCTGTCAAATTCGCAATGCAATTCGATCGCGTGTAAAAACACATCCGCGCACTACAATTCACATGCGACTGTTTCCGAAAAGCCATAACATACGCTGTACATCCCTCCGCATGAAATGGAAAGTTTTATGCTAAAACCATGCACAAATTTACGGAACAATTGCACTCGATACAATGATACAATTCCGAATAGTAATGTAACTTGAAATTTACAAGAACTGAAAGAGAGAAACAGACGTACTGCACCAGCACTCGTTTACAACAAGGCGACTACTTCAATTTTACACAACTACCCCCCTAACGGGCTAAAATGCATAAAGAAGTTTGATCCGTTTGCTGTCAAAGAAAGTGACAGAACACTTATTCAAATTGTTAACTGTGCTTGCCATTGCATCCCAAACACATTCTAGGGGTGCCTGTTTATTGGGGTAAAATTTTCATGTCTCAGAAGACCGCTTTGCTATGAGGCTACATTACCCTGGGCTACCTCAACTCTTTGTAATGCACTTTACAAATTTTAACGGCAGGTGAAGAAATCGGCTGCTAACGGGGAGTTTTCCAATCTGCAGCAATCGTCTCCTGCTCCCAGCCCCAATTTGGTCCCCACCATGCTTCCACAGATGAATAGGGGTCTCAGCGGATTAGTGTAAACATTGTATAGAGCTGAAGGATTAAAAACCACAAGCAGGTTCCTTCTGGGATAGGTTACGTGTACCAGTACTTGCAAACAATAGACCCCAGGATGAAGAAGTTCGAGATCAACAACCAGTCCAGAATCCCAGGCCAGTAGCCAGGCCGGTCTGAAAGGGATTTTTGTAACAGGGCGACCTTATCGGGGGGGGGCCCTTTTCAAACCGGGTCGAAATGGTCGCCGGCCCTAAGAGAGGGCATTTTCTACGGGCACTCGCTGCTTTAGCACGCAGGTTTATGTGTAACTAGGCACCGGATACAATGAGAAATCATGACCGGTTTCTGCTGGAATGTATGGTTATCCCATGTGCGCTGGCAGGGTGCGTCGACGACACCAGTTAGAAAACTTCCCACCAGCCTGTCTCGTCTTTGCCGTTGAGGGCCCACTTCGACTTGGTGTGGATGAGAATTCAAAGAAAAATGATGTTGAGTGGCCCGACAATAGTCACCAATGCATGCGCCTAGTATGGGTGGTGGGGACCAGTGCAGAGAACCTGTGACTCAATTCCACTCCACATAGTGTAACAGAAAAGTCATATTTACTTTGACAAAAGTAAAAAAAGGAGAAAACTTGGGGTATTTTCATTTTGGTGAGCATATGAAATAATTCTGGAGCTGTGACTTGAGAAAATGGTCGCAAACAGAGATGAAAATTTTTCAAATCCTGTTTTGTGATACACAATAAAAATTGCTGGACTGCCTGCCCGGTCTTTTTGCAGCGCACGGATTGCAGGCTGAATGTACGTGTACGTACCCCCAACGACTCCCCTGTTGGTCTAGCCCTGGCCCTACATCTGTCGGTTAGCCCCATGCATGGAGCCCTTGGCCAGGTTAGCCTGGGGCCCAGTGTAATGGCTGCCCTGTGGGCCCACGGCCAGGCTGGCGTTGTGGCCCTCGCGCCTCCCTGGACCGGCTACGTTCTCCTTCCTGGGTCCCTGCACAATGCTTCCATCTCTGCCCATGTAATCGACGTAGGTGTCACTGATGGAGATAAGCCAAAATCGGTGAACATTTCTCAGAATTGAAGGGCCCAAGCAACACAATTATTTCATTGAAAAAGGTTTAAACTGCACCCCTGGATTTCAATTGACCTTATTCTCAATTTTATTGAAATCACTATTTTCATTTTTAATTTGTAGAATTTTTCAGTTTATATGCTAATACAAATTTACATATTCATGAACAAAACTGTGACATTATTCCAGGCACTCAACCTAAATGTTGCACTAGTTGTGCACAAAAAGGCTGTAATTTTATATTTTGTGGTTTAAATTTTTTTCTGTAAGCAACCATTTGTCAGAAATATTTCCAAAGAGCGAATCTGAGGTTAAAAGAGGCAGGAAGGAGGGTGGCTTACAGCAAGTTTTTCTTGTCCGGGCCATGAACCAGCGCGGCGTCCGGTCCCTGGGCCTTGAAAGAGTACAGGGAGTGAAACTCCTGCTTGGGTGCTCGCTCGGCCGATCTTGTTCGACGTGCTGCACCTGCAAAGGGCCGCAAACAAAACAAACGCAAAATGGTTGAATCCCACCTGTGATTGTGAGGTGACATCTAAATTACTCAGCCACAGCCGGCTAGAACACAGGTCTGCACATGGGAAATGGCTACACCTCCTAGCCAGTGGGCTTGCGTAGAAACATGTGCTTCTCTCAGCCAAGACTAAGAAAATGGATGAGGCTGAGCACTAGGTCAGAGAGGAGCCAGACCAAGCACTCCCGTTGATAACAACCATGTTTCATGGGCTGGGTACCTGCCCTACCCTTTCCCTCTTCCCAAATGAGTCAAACTTCATGGTCATGATCCTGGTCTCCTTTCACAAAGGTCACTGACGCTCATATACATGTACAGAAATTCGATGTCGGTCTCAACTTTTGTGATACATATGCAAGATCTGACTTTCACTTCTCAGACTGCAGACTCAGCAGTTGAGAGTGAAAGACGAATTTGAATACGACTCTCTTTTTTCTTCATGCAACTTAGGACTAGGGCTCTACGAGCAAAAATCAAAAGTATTTTTCCCAGTCTGACGTGGGCGCGCAGGAGGTAGAGGCCCATTGTTCTTAATCTTCCCGTACTCCTGCATGGGCTCCGTTCAGAACACGGGATCACGCCAGGAACTACATAACAATAGCTCAAAGAAACTCATGCTGGCATGCTTGCAGTCCTATCGTTGATTCTTTCTGGCGGCCATGTGACCGAACTGAAGGAAGCTTTGTGCATACTGCGGCTAAAGCCTGGCTGCCGCCACCTGCCCTGACACCCTGCCCTGACACGCTGACTGTCCATTCATAGCCCATGTGTATATAAATGGGCATGCGTTCCCGTGGCGGTGCTGGGATTGCGCTTGCTTAATCTCACTCAAATTTTAAAGAGTGTAAAAAAGGAAAGATGAGGGAACCAAATGACAATTTAACAAAAATACACCAACTTTTTTGTATGATTTATTTTTACACTCGAAAGTTTCCAAGTGCAAAATGGTGCACACTCAAGCAATTAAAAAGGAATGATCATGAGGCTAAACAGGAAAACCCCGAGCTGGCCTGCCACGGACAAATGCGACAGCAAGGTGCTGTGAGCAGCATCTCCCCACAGTGTGCGCCAAAGAAACAAACACCATGGAAGAATTGTCACAAAAAGTGCACAGATTTGGTGGTACACAGACTTGGTGTACAATACAGGATTTTTTCCTTTAGTCTGATTTAAAGCACTGCTGCAGGATTGTTGGTATCTGCTGCAGGGACACTTTTCATCATCAAAATCAACGTATAAGCTGCAGCTTATTTTCTAAAAATTATTACCGTGCCATAGTACGCTTTTGCATAGTTGCCAGACATGTTTATACACCATGCGGTGTAGTTGTATAACGAAGCTTTCGCTGTGGAATTCGCCAGAGTTGACTTGTAATCTTTCGCCGGCCTTGTACATGAACACGCTGTGTATTTAGTGCATGTATCATAACTTGTTGTGTTTCGCATACTTCTGCTGTTGCGGGCGTGCATGCACACAGGGAACAGGTTATTAACATCACAAAGGATGCACACAATGGAATTTCTAATGAGCTCCAGTCCTTCCCTTGACGCTTGCCTAAGCCGGGGAGTCTTAACCAGGAGAACGGGTTTATTGTTGGATTTAGTTAATCCCTGTGCAAAATGGGAGGAACATCACCAAGTGAAAACTTGGCTTAGGGTTCACCTTTGTGACAGGTTACTCAGATCTTACTTGGGCGACTCATGACTCAGACTCAATACTAAAAACTCTGACCCAGACTCAACCTCTGCAACTTCAAACTGCAGGCTTTGGAACTCAAAAATACCCAGATCTGACTCAAGTGACTTCTGACTCATGCTTTGACTCAAACATAGACACTCAGGCTCAACCTGTGTTACTCACAGCTGTGAGGTTCAGCACTCAAAAAAAATTACTCAGACACAAACCTTTACTCAGGAGCAAAGTTTTTTAAAACAGCACTCACCTTTTGCTCTGGCTGCTGCCTTGGCTTGCCTTGAAGTGGCGGGGGCTGTTGGGGTGCTCGGCAGACTGGTTGATTGCCTGGATGCACTAGCAGGGGTTGGTAAAGAGGTGGAAGGCGTCGGTTTAGAGACAGGAGTTGCAGACACAGATGATGCAGGTGCACTGATGGTCACCAGACGGGGACCCAAGACACACGAAGAGAAGAGACAGAAAGCGTGCATATGAGTGGAAAGTGTGCAGACAAACAGAAACTCACGACTGCTGTGGACTAATCAAGACACCATTAATGTGGGGGAATTCCTCCCACACTCACATCACATGCCTTCTTGACGAATTTTCTTAAAGAAAAGGCCGCTGGGGATGGGGGTGTTTTTTACCCACCACTCCTTCACCGTGCAAATGCACTTTGACCCAGCCAAGCATGACACCTTAATACACAGACTGCGGAAAGTAAAAAAGAATATTTAAACAAGTGTACAAGTCCTCCGTGGAACAAATAAGGAAAATTATGTGTGTTTACAGGTCATCCGGCGTGAAGAGGTTAAAAAACATTTTTGATACGTCACAATAATTTTAGGTCCTAAAAGACAAAACATATGCACTTCACCAATTGCAATGAAATCACGTCAAGGCAGCTTGTGAAATATTGTCCAAAAATGGATGGCAGATGTGCAAACTCAAGACAAATTAGTACACCAAACATAAAAAATTCCATGGAGCTGTCCAGGATGCGTGGCTAACTCGCACATGTCGATAAGTCAAGTTACATGGTACCGCTGTAGTAATGGCTCCTAACTGTGGTAGCCTGATTAGTCAACACTTTTGCACAAAATCAGAAGTTTTAGCATCACAATAGTCAGTTGGGGATGACACATCATTCAGACAAACCAGAGACTTACAAAGGACCACGACTGCTAGCACAACAGATCTAAATGTGATTGGAGACTCTATCTTATACCATAGACTCAGCACTTGGTCTTGCACCAATACTCACATCAGCCTAGCAACAACTCAAACCTCAGTTAAGGCATTGTCTAAAATTGTCTTTGAGTCTTGAGTCACTTTGTCAAGACTCAGTTTTATGACTCAAGAGTCACATTTGAACTGAGTCACTTAAAGACAGTCTTCAAGTAAGTCACTCAAAACATACTGGCATCAAGTAGAGTCTAGATTCAGCCTTACAGTGAGAATCTCAAGACTCAGTCCAGCAAAATTAAACTTGAGACTCAGTCTTCAGTGACATGATTACAACCCAAGTCTCAAGCAAATTGAGTCAAAACCTACATCTTCAAATTGACTCACTCAACACTCAATCTTGCCAAGTGAGGCCCCAATGCAGAGCAGGTTCGAGTGACAACCACAGTCTGACCAGCGTCATGGCAATATGAGAGTGATGACGAGGTATTATAAAACAGCTCAACTCGGTTGATTCCAGAGTAACTGTATGGTGATTTTCTGAAAGCAATTGACCGCAGTCCAACGAGTTAGCTGCACTGTTTTCAGTGTTATAAATCCTCACCTTGTTTTTGGCTGAGGGGCTACTACTGTGGTGGAAGTGCTCGCTCCCGAGCTTCCCACTGATGAGGTGCCGACGGAGAAGCTCGTGGACGTGGTAGAAGCTGTTGTCTTGGCTGGAAAAGAAGAACAAATCAGACGGTTTCTCAACAAACAAAATGCTCTCTAGGGACAAAATGCCAAGATGGCCCATGCCTGAACTACCTGGATATGGCTAGTGGCTTGCAACCTGTCTGCCATAGACTCGTGCATGTCTGCCAGCCATAGCCACGTAATTGGGCCACAGCTATGATCCGGCTACTTTTGCGTAATTTTCATCTTGTGCACATGCTCAGCTGCATTCTTCTTCTTCAAGCATATCATTCTCATCAGCGTCAAAAGAGCTCCAGAGAGCAGTTCTTAAGCCAGTTATCTGCCCCGACCGGGACAAAAGATGGCATAATTTTCCTAGCAACAGAGGCTTCTTTGGTGGGAACTGCACTTCGCTGGTTCTCAACCGACTACTAAATGCCTGTATTACCAACAACATAAACCCTTCCCACCAAACATGGATCTTTTCAACTGAGGAGGGGGCGCTTCTGCTCAAAGTGGATCAACTGAAGATTTATGAAATACCTGTACACCCCCGGATTCCAAATTCACAAGGAAGGTCTGTGGACGGGGCAGTCATCACAAGTCGTGTCCAAATTACTTGGCTGTGGCTAGAAACAACACACAAATCAGTGTGTAATGGCCGCAGCCATTGCCATAAACTCGGGCCACATCCAAGCCACATCCAAGTACTTCGGACACAGCTTAAGGCATGTCAACACCACTGTTCAGTCACGACTCGTAGGTTGGGGGGATCATCTGCCATCCCGCTTTAACTAAGCTGGTGCACCATCTGCCAACATCACCTCTGATTTGGTTAGGTTTTACCAAGCTGGCTCTGGGGGAGGTCAGTCCCAGCAACTTTCTCTGAAGGCTGCGTGTTGAACGGATTCTATTTGTTGGACCATTTTCAAGCTTCGTGTACGGTTTCAGAGGCACACGTTCTGACAACAGATATGTTTACCAAAAAAAAGTCCACAGGCATTTGCAGGTTCTGCCCCTTTTACCTTTGGTGTCGCTTTTCTTGGCGTCCTTCTTGCCGTCGCTTGAGATGGTCATGCGGAGTACCTGCGTGGCCTTGGCCTGGTTGTAGTGAGTCGTCTCCAGGGCCAGCTCAACGAGGGTCTCACTGGCCGAGGGGAACATCTTCTTCAGATTGTCAATCACTGGAACCCCACCAAACAAAATGCGTCAATAACATAAATATTGACTTCTGGCGCCAATGACATTACTTTGGATTTTTTTTATCATTGCCTGCTAGCGATACCCACAGCTGTACTAAATTCAACTCAGTGGTCGGGTGGTTCAGACGTCTGCACAAGTAAGTGGGAAGTTGTGGGTTGGAATCCCTACCAAACAAAGTTGTGGGGTCTTTCGGGCAACTCTCGGACCACACTGGGAATAGGGAATATCTACGCTGGTGTCAGGATAAAACCCTGTATAAAACAGACTTGCCATCCACACTCATCTGGGGATCCAGGCTCCCTGAATTCTTACTACCCCTGCTCATCGGACCCATAAACATTCCTCCGACTACCTCAGCTCCCCGGGAATACAAAGCCCAAGGTTGCCATTTTGGGTACAAACGACTAATCTAAATGCAATAACCATCTCTCCCCTCAGAGGTCCCCATTTGTACTCCTGGGTGGAGAGAGACACATGGGCGTAAAGTGACATGCCCAAGATCACAGCATGTAGCCAGTAGCTGGATTCAAACCCCGTCCCCACGTTTACGAGTCACATATCATATAAACCAACTGCCTCCACACAACATTTCAGCACCCATGTTAGTCCTTTTCAACCATCCCACATCCATCAAAATCTTCAATTGCAAGGTAACGGGCAATGATGCACTTTCTAGCATGCTTGATCCTGACAAAATGACCAATCGGCCGTTTGACATCTTCCGAGTGAGCGGCCTGCTGTGCCAACTCTCACACTTACTCTTGCTCTTCACTGCGGCCGTGGGCTGTTTCGGGGGGGACGTTGACGCAGCTGCTGAGGGTTTCGCCATAGACGCTTGAGGCTTGGCAGCTGCTTTGGCCATTGGGGCTGTAGTTGATTTCTGCGGAATGGAGGGGAAGAAAAAAAAAGGGACACTAAAAAACATTTAGGGCAAGATGTTCCACGTGCCGACTCTGACAAAACAAAATCCTTGACTCCAAATCGCTTTGCCGTTACCTTTTTGTCCTTCTGGGGTGTCATACTCATCAAGACGGTCGTCGCCTTTCCGCTGTCCCAGGAGCTCGTCTCCAAAACCATCTCCACGACGCTCCTCTCAATGCCAGGGAAGGCCTCGTCCAAGTTTTCAATCACTGTTGTGGAGGGGACAACAACTTTTCAAAATGAATCCTCTTTGGTGTACTTTTCAGAGTTCTTGAATTTTTGAGGAGGGAAGAGAAAGAAGAACGTTATCTGGGACCGGTTTCCCACAGCTACCTGGGGAGACTCACCCCGAAGAATTCAAATCCTCATCAAAGAAAGTTATAAAAAATTATTGCTATTAGCACCATACCTCCTTACACACCCGACAGTAAAGTCCTTATTGTATAACCTCGATACCTTGAACTTCAAGGGGTTGAAATAAAAATTTGAGTCATCCGAATTTCAAGCTAGCGAAAATGCCTGAGTTATGGAGTCACAATAGACCTACACATTATGCATTTACTGTTTGTACACAATCGAAATCATCCTGCTCTATAATAGCAATTTTTTATTGGCTATTCCCCTTTTCATTATATAGTTCTACTCACAAATCATTATTTTTCTGAGTACCTCAAAGATCCTTTTTCTATCGATGGGAAAGTTAACCGCTGTATCTGTGTCTGGCAAAACTGTTTTGAGTCATTTGTCTTATCACCTTTGAAGCGCGATGCGCAGTGCAAAGTCCGAGCTTGTTTTCACTCAGGTTTTACTATGTGTGGTCACATGACCTGTCCTTTTGCAATCACATTGTCAAAGTAAAGCGTCAGCCGTCGTAGCATGGGCGAAGTTCGCACATGTGTACTACACCCTGGGCAACAAAGACAGCTCCATTGAACAATAACAAAGGAATGCTTTTGTTGCAGCTCAGTTGACGAGCTTGTGACTTGAATTCAGACTGGGGGTCTAGTGTGTTGGTCTTATGAAGGTCTTAAGTGGTCTCGACTACAACGCTGTCGCATAATTTCATAGTAAGCATGATATGAGCACAGATCGCTAATATTGACACTCACCACCACCCCAAAAGGATGACCGTTGTTCACCTTCCAATTCGGAAGTATGAAATGGGTCTACATATTCATCAATCAGAATTGCCAGTCGGAGTAAACTGTTCCCAGGGCACGGTAAATGGCAAAATGAGCATCTCGCAAGTGGTGGTGAATGGACCAGTGAGAATGGACCTTTCCCATGAAATATGCAAATAAGGCAGGCGCAGGCGCATTACTACCACTGGTTGGCAAAGTTGCTTAAATCTATGACATAACAATACAAATCTCCATGCGTGCACCACTATCGCTGTTTCTGTTCTAGGATAGTTTGACATGAGTGCCAAACTTAAAGACAAGGAATTGTTATTTTCCAACCTCAGGACACTGAAAACTTCACTTAGTTTCGAGAAAAGAGTGCTCAAGTATCGGGCAAAGGCTGTAACATGGTTTTGACTGACCTTCAACGCCCCAGGTTGTGGTTACTAGCAGCTCGCCTACACTGCCGACAGTGTTGACGACCGCGCTTGCCAACCAGTGGTAGTGCGCATGCGCCCGTCTAATTTGCGTATTTCATGGGAAAAGTCCATTTGGCTCTCGATCATGAATATGCATGAGGTGTGGTTAACATCATTCATTTGTTAATAGATTTGTCAACTCACTTGCTCTCTTTTGTCCCACTGTTAGTTCAACCCTCTCAGGCTCGGTTCCGAATGACGTCTGAAAAATAGAGTTACGAAAATCATAGAAAATTAACACACTGAGAAGCTTTCCCACAATCAAGGCCAATTTCACAGAGACAACAGTCACACTTTGGACAGTACTGCCGTTTTCATTTATTTTGAACTTTAACCAATAAATACTTCTCCAAATTCCAACATTTGGCATTACTCAGTTTGTTAGACACCCAAATAAAAAAACACCCGACCTTCATGATGCTAACTGCCCTAAAAGCTGCTTCTCACAGAAACAAAGCCTCTCCAAGAAATCATTCACTTTGACATGAGGAAAATGCAGTGAAAGACACTTTAAGAAAGCGCTTGGATTACTCACATCTGTTGTAAGAAAATCAAATCGTTTAATTTTCTAATGGCCAGCACAAATCGGTTTTGTTAGGTCATATACAATGTACACAAATCCAGGCGTGGATTGGGGGGAGGGGAATTGAAAGCCCCTTCCCTGACCCCCCCAAAAAGTTTAAAAATGGGGGAAATAATAAAAAATCAAGCTAAAGTGTATCGATACAAAGGTAAGTGTATCGATACCATTGTAACATGTAACGTCTCATCAACGTTTCCACTTGTCTGCAAAATGAGGCTTTAAAAATCTCCAGCCTGAACCCCCCCCCCGGAAAATTTCCTAGATTCGCCCCTGCCTATCCCTACTTGTTACATCTCCCACAGGTGCATGTGCACGTGACCAAAGCTGTGGCTACCTAAGGGTTCAGAGCTAAATACACTGTCCGTAAATGATTTGGGACAGGTTCACTAATATTCAAATTCTTGGTTTTGGAAACAGGTGACTCCATGGACTGGATTGGGTATTAAGAGCGTGGTTACGGTTTTCAAATCCTGCCTTTGTCTCTGACTGGTTCCAAAGCAGCAATTTTTAGGGCTTCAGTTTCCTAGGTGGGCATCCGCAAAATCACAGGCAGATTCCTTTTTGTGCTCTGAAAAATTTTCAATCCGGTTCCCGCAGCTAACATTTGGAACAGTGGAAAGGTTTGAAAAAAGCCACTGGTATTAAAGGCCCTGCGTGAGACCTGATGAGGCTAAAGTGTGGCCGTGCGACAAGGGTAAAGAGAGGACGTTTCCCTAACACCAATGGCACGTTACTGTGCACCTTTTCACAAGCTTCAAAATCAGGCCGATCTTATTTGTAGGCATGCAGTGCAGAAAATCACCACTACAATGAAACAGTGGTGAAGACACGTTCCCCTAAAGCCCATCACAAGTTCTTTTATTTTTTGTTGCAAGCAAAAGAGGATGAGAAATAACTGAGGAGAACCTGCTGCTTGATCCGCCACTGGACTGCTTGTGGCGGGCTTATAAAGACATGGAATCATCAACTTGCCAGGCACACTGATGTGTTTGTGAGGACGTGTGAGGACCCATGGCAGACATGCGAGGACTTGTGAGGGGTTTGTGAGGACTTGTCATGGAATAGACTAAAACAGTATCCTGAAGATCACAGAGGTGATGAGATTGGTGGATGTGATCATGGTCCTCTGCGGGGGTAGACTGTGAAAATGAAGGGTGGTTGATATGGTAACCACAGCAACTCACTTCACTTGATAGTGAGCCTACACCAAGGCAGCAGATGGCAACAATGTAGATTGAGAGGAGCATGGTGATGATGGCGACAGAGCTGATGACTACGGAAGCAAGGACGGCTCCGAGAGAGTCAGACAAGCTTAACATTTGTATTAGCATAAACACCACAAAAGGCATTAAATACCTTTAAAATAGAAAAACAGAAACTCAAAAACAAGGTTAAGGGAAAAACAAAGTTGCTTTTTTGAGGGCTGTGGTCACACAAAAAATGCACCGCATCAACCCTGCAGTGCCCTGAGAGGGTTATAGGGCTTCCCCAATGAAGACCCACGAATAGTCAGATACCTCATGATAGTCACTGGTCACTGGAGTCCGGCTGCGAGCAGCCGACTGGACCCGGCGCCGCTCCTGCTCCTTCTCGATGCGCTGCTGGGCCTCCTGCTTCCGTCTCTCGGCCTCTTTCTCCTCCCTGGCACGCACAAGCTCCGCCTCCCGCTGACGAGCTTTCAGCTGACAACTCTGGCACTCCTGGTTTGCTGACGGTACCTGTTTTTGATTTTTGCAACACGGAGGGGTGATATGTTTCTTTCAGGAGCTGCAAGCTTTGAGGCAGGGAAGGGCATTTGCAAATTTTAAGAAAATTTCAGAGCCAAGCATAGGTGGAAAATTGGAATAACCCATCAGGTATCACATGCATATATCTTGAGTCAACATTTCCTGGAATTTGGGAAATGTTTCGTCTTTTTTTTTGGCCCTTTCCTCCGGTAAAATTTCTCTGGAAACACCTTGGAGATTTCAACAGTTTTCTGCCAACTCCCCCCTATTCCACTTCAGTTCAGACCTCGGCCATTCTGCCTTGCTGGGACCTTAACGCTACATGTAGCTTCGAGAAGCCAGCCAGTTGCTGTTTTTTTTAATGATTTAGAGCAGTTTAACTGGGAGCTGTATTTTAAAAACAAACTCTCACCTCGTTAGTGCGGCATATCTTACATTTTGGTTTAGCAATGGGTTGTAGAGGAATCGCAGGGCCACCAGGCTGAAAAACAAATCAAAGGAAAAGACGACTCGGTAATTCCATGGTAATTCAGACTGACATTGGAAGGGGCTTTCAAATTGTATCGTGTTCTATCTTATGGCGATAGTAAGTTAGGACTTAATCTAAGGTGCTGTCTGTTTACTGGAAGTATCCCTCTATCACACATATTTCTTTTGAAATTTCAACTTTGCAAGGATTAGGTAAAGCTATGTGTCACCATGGTAACAGACTGGCAGTTTCACAACCTTTTTTTTTTTTCGAGTATACATGTACTGGGGAATTAAAACTCAAAGAAGTTAGCCAATAAACAGTTGCCATACATTCATGAAATACACAGTAAAAGTCCCGCTTTGCTGAACGTAAACATCCTTTAAAATTAAGATGCATGTCTCCTGAAAACCAGGGATTCTTAAAGCTTGTGAAGTAAACTGAGGATGCCACATCTCATGAGAAGCAGTGACAATAAACTCCACACTTAAAAGTTAAACATTAAAAACAAAATAATAACAAGGTAAAATCCTGTCAGGACTGTGGATACCTATTGTTTTGTTTTTGGTTTAGGCCTAAATTTGGGCTCAAACCCTTCATGCAATGTATGTCAAAGTTCAACCTAATCAATTTTACTGGTAAGACTGTTACTGAGACTGCATAGGCCTAGGCCTATAGGGCTTATTATATATTTACCGACGGCGTCCAAGCAGACCGTTGCGGCATTTGGGGGGATCTCTGGTAAGGGCTGGCGGCAGGGCCGGGGGCTAAACCGCCGATGCGCTGCTGCTGCTGCTGTTGCTCGTAGTATGCCTTGCGCGGGTCGTGCCACTGGGTGGACCGAGTGGTGTGATGAATGTAGAAACTGTTTAATTAAAAAGAAAGATGGATCCATGATGTAGGCCTATTAAGTTCGACATTTTTCATTGACATGATCATGATGATGTCCGACATGACACACGGCGGCCCGGCCTTGGCTCAACAAACTGAACTTACTATTTTTTGGTGTTGTGGTCGTATTTGGCATCCCAACCTGGTGGAAGGGGCATTTTGGCCCACCAGGGACCTCCTCCGGGATGCGCTGCATAGGCCATGGCTGAAATTTTCCGTGGATTTGTGATGCGATTCTATTCACAATCAGCACCCGGTCCACCTCAAACAACTTTCTTCGCGACGAGCTAGCTACTGGTAAAAATGTCTGGCAACTGCCTCAACCAAGCCGTTACTGTGTTAGTGATGGGCGTATCCGGAACCCGTACTATAGTACTATCTCTGAGACTCGTAATTTTTTCCACTAAACTTGTGTAAGTCCTTCTGAAATTAGTGTTCAACATGTTCAAGCATGGCAACGCGACACAAAAATGATGCAGAATTTCCCTTTATAGAGTACATGTACATGTGGCTTGTGTATCGGGAGGGGTGATCAAAAAGATTTCCTAGCCCTTTGACTCAGTAAACTTCCCCCCCCCCCTAAAAAAATTATTTTGGCCCCATTTATTCTGATACTTGATTTCCAGTTAAAATTTTCTTGATTTCAAATTGCATTTTCTTCCGTGATTTTGCTGTTTCACCCACAGAGCATGCATTGTTTTGAGTGTTAAGAGAACACCCTTTTTTAAAAAAAAGATGTGAACAATAAAGGAATGTTTAATATTATCAAACATTTCCGAGGCCAACAAAAATTGAACAAATATATGTTTCTGAGTGAACTATGATTCGTGTCATGTCTTTTATGATACCCTAGCTTGGACGGATCCAGGTTTGACTTGAAGGTGGTTCATGTCGTTTTTTTCCCATGCATATTCTTACTTTGGTTGGTTTGTATTGCATTTTGAGATGTTCGTGAGCAAAACAGTGGTTTCGTACCGTGGCAACGTCATTTCAGTACATCCAGACAGATTCAACCAAGAATGCCACATTCCGAGTTAAACTGAGACTCAAAAAGTTTTCACGTGATAAAGCAAAAGCTTTTAGTGTTGCGTAGTCGAGACCATCACAAGACCAGACACTAGACCAGACTCAAGACCATGCACAAGACCAGTC